AACAAGTACCCAGGGCTGAGTGCTTTACAAAGAGAAGAGGTTGGTTTGGCCCACGGTTCTGGAGATGCAAGAGCCTGGTGCCAGTATTTGCTGGGCTCTGGTGGGGGCCTCCTGGTGATGACAGCACAGCAGTGGGTACACATGTGGGTGGGACAGCAGTGTGTGTGGGAGAAAGACTGGGGAGAGGTGCCAGGCTGGCTTTCCGACCACTCGCTCTCGGGGCATTAATCTTGCCCCATGAGAGCCAGAATTCCCAGGAGACAACATTCATCCATTTGTGAGGCTGGCCTGGTTGCCTCCACTAGCCCCGCCTCTTAAAGGTCCCGCTTCCTCACCACCACTACACAGGGAGCCAAGCTCTCAGCACAGGAGCCTTAGGGGCCCATACTCTAACCACGGCCAGAGCTGATGTACTAGCTCAGGGTTACAGAGCAAAACGCTCCAATTTCTGAAAGGGGAGACAATGTTCTGCAGGGTTGCTGCAGTTCCCTCAGACCTTGCAATAGGTATCAGAAGGGGACATGATTTCAAACTGTGCATATGTGGGCTCTGCTTAAAGACTTGCTATGCTGTTCTAAGATTCTTCCAGCAAGATAATGTATCCAGGGGCAGAGTTGGGCCAGCTGCTCCACTTCCCATCCAGCTCACTGCTTAAAGGCCCGGAAAAAGCAGTGGGAGATCCTGAGGGAGACCCGGATGAAGCTCCTAGCTGCAGACTTTGGCCTGGCCCAGCCTTGGCTCTTGTGGCCATGTCAGGAGTGAACTAGTGGATAGAAGCTCTCTGTCTTCCCTCTCTGGACATCTGCCTTTTAAATAAATAAATAAATCTTTTTAAAAAAATGATAATACATCAAATCCTCGGCCTTTGGAGAGTTACAGGATCTATGTGTCAATCAAGAGTATTCTGGTCCTTGATCTCATGCTCACCCTGATTATATGTGGGCAACCTGGGAAAGAGGTGCATTTTCCGTCTTTCTCGGCCACACAGCCTAGTGGCAGCAGGGACAGCACTGTCACAGTGCCCTCTGAAAACTGGGGTGATCAGCTATCACTTTTGGAATGACAAAGAGAGACCATTGCTCTAGTTTAATATATCCTATCTTTTCATTTATTGCCAAAATGATCCAGAAACAGCTACACTGAGTTTATATCTCATAAAATAAGTTCTTTTTTTAATAAAAGGTTTATTTATTTATTTGAAAGACAGAGTTATAGAGACAGAAAGATCTTCTATCTACCATTTCATTCCCTAGATGGACATGACAGCCAGATCTGGGCCAAGCAGATGCCAGGAGTCTGAAATTCCATCTGGGTCGCCCATGTGGGTGGCAGGGGTCCAAGCACTTCAGCCATCTTCTACTACCTTCCCAGGTGCATTAGCAGGGAGCTGGATTGGAAGCAGAGCAGCTGGGATTTGAACTGATGCTCCGATATGGGATGTCTGTATCACAAGTGCTGGCTTACCCCACTGCACCACAGCGCAGACCCCAAAGCAGTTCTTTCATGTGCTTCAGTGCTGTTCTTACATCACCAAACCTTGGCCTCTCTGGTTTGCCTTGCCCACACTGTAATTTGGTAATAAACAATGGTTAAATAATAAGCAAAACTCTTATAAACACAGATTTTGTCTGAGTTTCTGCAGATAATGTATTTTCAAAGTGTCTTATTACCATAACTACTCTGTTGTTTGTCCTCTTAATTTTCTTACAAAAATGCAAAAAAAAAAAAAATATGGAGTGCATGCGTGCATGCTAGGAGGATCCGTGTGAGTGGCCTTCAGGGAAAATGCGTTTCCTCTTCAGCCCAGGGGGCTGGGTTGGCTCCTGTTAATGCTGTGGCTGTGTGTCCACCGTGGGTCACCTGGAAATGCTGTCACTGCTGAAGGGGCAAAATTTCATTGTCCAAAACCACGCTGTTTTATTCTTTCCCGGAAGTGCCAACTACTTACACCTAAACTGCATGCATGGGTTTCTTTCTTTTCTGTAATTTAAAAGGGTATTTATTTTTATTCAAAAGGCAGAGAGATACAGAAAGTACATAGAGAGAGAGCTCCCATCTGCTGGTTTACCCTCCAAATGCTATAACTGCTTGGGCCGGGCCAGGCCAAAGCTACGAGCCTGAAACTCAGTCTGGATCTCCCACGTGGAAGTTGGGGACTCAAGTGCTTGAGCCATCACCTGCTGCCTCCCAGGGTGCATGTTAGCAGGAAGGTGGAGTTGGAAGTGGAGCTGAGACTCAAACCCAGGCACTCTGATCTGGGATGCAAGCATCTCAAGCAACATCTTAACCGCCGTGCTAAATGCCCACCTCTGGATGCACGGCTTTTGAAACACTTGAGGCTTTTAAAATTAAAGTTTTCAAAATTAAAAAAAAAAAACAAAACAAAACAACAACAACCTTGTATCAACCTTCTCTTAGGAGCTGAGTTTGGGGACAGACCGGGTGTGGCTGGGAGAAGTCAGTAGGGATCTTGGAAATTTGTCCAGAAATTAGGGGGACAGCAATCCGAGGGAAGCCAAAGAAGCTGGGTCTGGAATCACAGTTTTCTAAAAGCGAGTTCGTGTGAGTTTGTCACAGCGGCGGCCCGTGGGGGCCTCGTGGGCTGCCCAGCAGCCTCTGTGGTTTCTCCAAACCGTTCTCTTACTGAGAGCCACCGCCTGCCTGCAGGCCCCGCCCAGGTCCCGCCTTCGAAGCCTGTCATTTTGGGAGGTTCTTTTAGTGGATGGTGATGTGGGCTCAGGGCAGCCAGCCTGCATTTTAGAATCCCTGTTGTGTACTGAAGGCCAAAACCATTAAATTCAGTACACAACAGTTTCAGGGCTGCCCTGGGCTTCTCGAATCTGTCTTCTTACATAACCCTCATCTGCAAAGAATCCAAGAACAAATAAGAACAGAGTGAACGGGACAGACTAACAGGGCCCTGTGAGCAGACCTGCTTGGTGATTATTTGCCAATGAATTTGGACATTCTTTATTCCCTGTGTATGTGTGGTTCCTTGAGTTCTGCTTTTAACATCTGACTGCTTTCCTCACGGATGAGTGAAATATTGTTATGAGAGGCATTTTAAAAAAATATGTATTTACTTATTTGAGAGGCAGAGTTAGAGAGAGAGAGTCTTCTATCCACTGCTTCACTCCCCAAATGGCTGCAATGGTTGGTGGTAAGCCAATCCAAAGCCAGGAGCCAGGAGCTTCTTCCAGGTCTCCCAGGCAGGTGCAGGGACCCAAGCACTTGGGCCATCTTCTATAGCTTTTCCAGGCCAAAGCAGAGCTGGATTGGAAGAGAAGATGCCGGGACACCAACTGGTGCCCATATGGGATACTGGTGCTGTAGGCAGAGGCTTAGCCCACTACGCCACAGCGCTAGCCCAGAGAGAAGCATAGTTTTCACATTTTTAAAAAAGATGTATTTTATTTATTTGCAAGGCAGAGCAATGGGGAGGGGAGAGGGGGAGACAGAGAATTTCCATCTACTGGCTCACTCTCCAAATGGCCTCAATGGCTTAGGCTGGGCCAGGCCAAGGTCAAGAGCCTGGAACTCTATCCAGGTGTCCCAGGAGGGTGGCAGGGGCCCCAGTACTTGGGCCATATGCTGTTGCTTTCATAGGTGCATTAGTAGGGAGCTGGATCAGAAATGGAGCAGCCGGGACTCAAACTGACACTCCAACACAGGATGCCAGCACCGCAGGTGGCACAGCTTGACTCACTAAGCCACAATACCGCCCCTCCACCCCGATTTTCCCTTTGAAAATATGAATATTGGGGTCAGTGCTGTGGTGTAGCAAGTAAAAGCTACCACCTGCAGTGCTGGCATTCCATATGGGCACCAGTTCGAGACCCAGCTGCTCCACTTCTGATCCAGCTCTCTGCTATGGCCTGGGAAAGCAGTAGAAGATGGCCCCAGTCCTTGGGCCCCTGCACCAGCATGGGAGACCAGGAAAAATCTCTTGGATCCTGGCTTCAGATTGGCACAGCTCTTGACATTGCAGCCAACTGGGGAGTAAACCAATGGAAAGAAGACCTCTCTCTCTCTCTCTGCCTCACCTTCTCTCTCTGTGTAACTCTGACTTTCAAGTAAATGAATCTTAAATGAGTATCTTTTTAACAATATGTGTGTTGAACATTTTTCTGGATGGTATTGAATAATTCAACCCTTCCAACAGGCCCATTTCATGGCAACTTCTTTCATCAAGTTGTGACATCATTCAACATCTGGGCCTGTGAGGCTGAGGCAGCTGCATTCCCAGTGGGCACCAGGAGTGTCTTACTGTGTCCCAAATGCTTTGTCCCCCAAGTTCACATGCTGAGACCCTAACCCCAGTGTGATGGTGTGTGTTGGGGGTGGCGCTTGTGAGGTCATGAAGTCTAGATGAGATTAGGAGTGTGGGGCCCCACGGCTGGGTTGCTGCCTTGTTCTCCCTGACTCCCCCCAGCACACAGCACAGTCATGAGGGTGACAGCAGGTGCAGGGAATGGAGCACAGCTGGAGTCGGCCAGAACTGGGTTCAAATCCTAGGTCTGCCATTTGCAGGGTGAGGAAACATAGACCAGGTTTAAGTTAGGATTTAAAATCTCAATGGGATTAAGCAATTGCTTCCCTCCCATTTTTTCCACAAAGTTCTCAGAGAGGCCTGGGGCGGGGTGTGGGAGGAGAAAGGGGCCAGAGCCTTTGTGCATTAGCTTAATTGCCAGAGGTCTAAGCCCGGGTGAGGCGGGGCTGCAGCTGGCACGAGCGACTGAAAGTGCGTGCAGGAAGCAGCTCCAGGGCCAGATAAAGATCAGTTCCTGGCAGCTCCTGCCCTGCCTGCCTTCCTGGGTTCTCTCCCAGAACAAAGGCCACTGAGCCTCGGCATCAGCCTCTGCTCTGATATTGTTTTAAGTCTACCTGGACTTTGTCTACCTTACTAGGAAGCTCAACATTGCAAAGTCCAACAGCGTCTCTGGCGTCCCCTCCTTCTCTACAAATAGTGCCGTGAACCAAAACATCCGACTGCGAGCAAGATGGCGGGGAATTCAATCCTGCTGGCTGCTGTCTCTCTTCTCTCCGCCTGTCAGCAAAGAGGCCTGGGCAGTGTGTGTGTGGGTGGGTGGGTGGGGGCAGGGGGAGACGGGAGGAGGCCGGCTGGAAGACAGGCCGTGTTGAGTTTCCTGCCTGCTGGGAGCTCACAGGCAGAGCAGTTTGCTCCGGGCGGTGGGGCTGCCTGCTCCCGCCTTCCCTGAGACGGGCAGAGACTGGGAACATTCTAGAGACTGCTTCTCCCCACAGAGCTACTGGGAGCCCACACAGCCTAGGCACCCTACACCATCTGTGGCTACAACCCCAGCCCAGTTCACAGAGCGTAAGCAGCGAGCTAACCTGGAGGAAGTGGGGTATAGACATTAATTACAAGTGTTCCAAAAGTGACATTGTTCCTACTTTGCAATGGCTTCAATCCTGACCTTTTCATTCCTGGATCTTCTTAAATACACCTACCCTAGGCGTTAGGATCAGGTTAAAAACGTCTCCTGCAGAACTACAGCAGACGGACCCTATCCGTCTGATGCAGCCACTTGCCAGCTGGGTGCCCCTGGCCAGGCTGCTCTGCCCGTCAGGGGCCCCATCAAGGAGGGCTCAGCAGTACTCACCCTGGTGCCTGACCCGGGGGCAGGTGCTCAGCACCGTTTCCTGTCCTGAGCTCTCTCTGCAGAGAGAGAAGCCCCTGCTGGATGGAGAGCGGCCACACTGTGAAGGGGCCTCTCTGTGGCTGGGGGTGCACGGTGGAGTGGGGGTGGGGAGGGAGACTGCTCTGGTTTTGCTCTCCCAAGTGCACCTGCATCCCGGAGGGAACCGCGAGGTTGCGAGCAGGCATGGCGATGCAAAAAGGCAATGATTCTCAAGTGGTTTCAATCAACTGCAGCTCTCTAGGGAAAGCGGTGACACAGCGTTTCCACCGTCGTCGTATTGTCCCAGAGACACCCTGGTCTCTCTGTGGCCTCTGGTCAGAGAGGACAGAAAGGGATCTTTGTCCCTTGGAGCCAGGACTGGGCGTGGGCAGAGGAGAGCCACCCACCTCCTCTATCTACGGAAACTACCACCTTGGCTGGTGGCGCAGACAGGTGCCTACAGGGTGCAATGAACAGGCTGGCGAGGAAGCTTTTTCTTAGCCACAGCTTCGTGTTGAAGCGCTCTGATCTTGTGGCGTTGCGGATTTAGAAATCTGGGCGCACACATCTTGGGTGGCTTCCATTTCATAGGTGGGGTCGAGAGGGCTTGCCACTCGCTGAGGCTGGGAGCCAGGGGCCAGAGTGGCCGGGGCCCAATTTCCTCCTAGCACACAGATTTCCTTTGCTGGCTGGGTCCTGGAAGGACAGGGCAGGAGAGGGGCCACACCCACCTCATTTTTTCTTGGTGCTCATGCCCTTCCCTTGGGCTGCACTTCCGGGAGGGAGACGCCAGCCCCGAGAGAGCGCATGCGCCTCGGCACGCAGCTGCAACTTGGGAATCCTCGACAAGCCCTGATTTGCCTCGGAAGACGGATAGGGAAGGGGAAGCGGTGTGCTGTGAGAGCCCTGACGAAACCTGCCCTGTTAGTCGGAGGCAGAGCGGAATCTTGTTCCAGGAGGAAGCATGTCATCCCTGATATCGCCCACAGGGCGCAGCTGAAGCCACACCCTCCGTGTGCAGTGTTACAAGGAAACTAATTTTAAAACGTGAGCATGTAGGAAACGGATGCTGAGATAGGAAAATAAGTGAGGCCAAGGAGTAGGGGAGAGCTGGTGAGGAAGTGAAAAGGGGACACGCCATCTGGAGGGAAATGAGAGGCCCCAGGGGTTCCATATGGGGTGAAGGGAGGGGAATGGGTGAGGAGGTGACAAGTCCCCAAGGCTCACACACTGACCACGGAGGAAGGGTGGGTCGGAAAGGGAAAGAAGCCCACAGAACTAACGGGACAGGCAGGTGATCCCTGACATTGGGATCGATCAGCTTTTTTAAAAAGATTTATTTACTTAATTGAAGTGTGGGGGGGTGTGACTTCAATCCACTGGTTCATTCCCCAAATGGCCACAACACCCAGGGCTGGGCCAGGCTGAAGCCAGGATCCTGGAACTCTATCCTGGTCTCCCACGTGGGTACGGGGGCCATCTTTGCTGCTCTCCCAGGTGTATTAGCAGGGAGCTGGATCAGAAGTGGAGCAGGTGGGATCCAAACTGGTGCTGGTATAGGATGCTGACATTGCAGGCAGTGCCTTCACCGGTTGTGCCACAATGCTAGCTCTTTTGTGGTCTGGGTGTTGCAATCTTAAGTTGAAGGCTACCTCGAGGCAAATCCCTTCCTTTCGGTCTCCTTCAGCTGATTGGATAGGACCTACCTACAGTTTGGAGGATAATTTGCTTTACTCAAAGCCTTAGGATTCAATTGTTAATCACACCAAAAAAATACTTCCTAGCAACCTCTACACTGGTGTTTGACCCAACAACAAGGCCCCACACCCTAACCAAGATGGCACACAAAAGTAACCATCACAAAGTTCTTTCTAGTCCTTGGCTGTTGCAAATCAAGCTGCTGTGAACATATGAGTCTTTGTGTGGACATGTGATTTCATTTCTCAGGGGTGAGCACCTCTGAATGGACCAGCTGAGTCGTGTAGTTGGTGTATGTCTAACTAAATCATCCCTTTGAAACTGTTTTTCAAAGTGTTTGTCTCATGCCACCTTCCTTCCAGCAGTGTATGAGAGCTCCAGTTACTCTTAAATCCTCACCTCTCTTTTTTTTTATTATTATTAAACATTTTATTTATGTATTTGAGAGCAGAGTTACAGAGAGAGAGAGGGAGAGAGAGAGAGAGAGGTCTTCCATCTGTTGGCTCACTCCCCAAATGGCTGCAATGGCTAGAGCTGGGCCAATCCAAAGCCAGCTCTAGCTTCTTCCAGGTCTCCTACATAGGTGCAAGGGCCCAAGCACTTGGGCCATCTTTCACTGCCATCCCGGGCCACAGCAGAGAGCTGGATCGGAAGAGGAGCAGCTGGGACTAGAACCGGTGCCCATATGGAATGCCGGCATGGCAGGCGGTGGCTTAGCCTGCTATGCCATAGCGCTGGCCCCATCTGTCTGTCTTTCTTGACTTGGCTCTTTTTAATTGTAGACATTCTAATAGGAATGGAGTGGTATCTACTTGTGGTTTAATTTGCATTTCACACAGGGCTAATGATGTGCCGCATCTCTAACACAGCTTTCCTTTTCTGGCAGATTATTTTGGTTTCCAGGTTGGAAGGGCAAGAATGAAACACAAAATTATGCCCCCAGCAGTCGCTGGGTCACTGGAGTTTGAGAGAGTGTTTCGTGCACAGTAAGTAATTCTCACCACTCTTCAGGGATCCGTGCCTGCCGCATGCGTCCACGCGCACATGTAAACCATTTCCGACTGGGGAAGAGCTGGGTGTTCGAGAGACCCTAAGTTCCTTTGTGGTATCTGGTGACGACAGACCATTCCTCACAGCCAGACTCTTGCCGTGGTTCGTGAAGCCTGAAGCGCCCGCAGCGTGGAGGCTCTCCCCAGCAATATTACAGATTCAGCAGGACTTACTCACAGAGCATGCTGAGATCTTAGGAGCAACTGCTGCATATTTCAAGGGTAGCAACTTGGTCACGCAGTCCCCTGCAGTCCTGGCAGAGTGCAGTCCTCTCAAGGTGGATGCATAATTTTGTAATTTTCTATCTAGTTCTTCCTTTCTGTTTGGAAACAGAGGTGAATCAGTATTCTCCTCTGCTGGTTTCTCCATGCTCCAATTTCTGAAATCAGAAAAGAATAGAAGAATGTAAGAATCAAAGATCTTTCCAGGTCACATGGATTCACAGTGTTTTAGGTCACTTCACACTCCTTGCACTGTCAGTCCTACACGGAACATTCTGCCATAAACACTGTGAGTTTATCTGCTGCAAGATGCTAGGGCTCCTTTTGTATTTCATCTCCAAAGCTAAGTGCCTGAAAAAGCATTGCGTGTATAGCCATTTATACAACTCTGTGTATTTTGTTACTACCTTGGGATCTTCTCATCTATGTCATGAGTGAGATTAGACTATACTTTTCCTTCTTTTTTGATATAGTTCCTGTCTCAATTTATTATCAAGAGTATACTTGGGTTACTTCCTGAAGTGGAAGAATCATCCTGTTCTATTTTCTTAGATAATTTTAATAAAGTAGGAAGAGTGTGTTCTTTTAAAAATGTGTACAACTTGGCTTAAAATGATCTGGACCTGATGTCTTCCTTGTGGAAAAAAAATTTAAACTATGAAATTTGCTTGTTTTAATGATTATTGGACTATTCAGGCTTATTGTTACATCTTGAATCAATTTCAGCAAGTCATGTTTCTTGAGCTGCCAAGAAAGGATTTACAGGCCATTTCCCAGGCCGGAAGGTGTGGGGTGAATACCGCTAGAGCACACGAGCTAATTTTAAGAGGCGTGTAGACTTGATTGTGGTAATGTTAAGCCCTAGACTAAGAAGGCATTCCCATTTCAGTTGTCTGTATCCTTATAGTTATGTCGAATTTAAAGTACTAGTTTGGTGCCAGTAGGTTCCACATCTCAAAATCAATGTTCATTGTTAGTAGAGGAATACACGTACATGGTCTGAAAATAAAGTGAAGTGATAAGCCTCATGACAGCAACTAACTCTCCCTGGTCACTACCTTGCCTCACCCCCAGTCTGTCCTCAGCCATTAAAAACTGGCACCCTTTTGACAACTTTTACTTTTACCAAAAGCAAATACTTGGGTTATTGATTTCCTTTTTTCTAAACACTATGCTTTCACTGATACTTATTCATTCTCAAATTTTTCCAATTCCTTTTTAAAAAAAGATATTTATTTATTTATTTGAAAGAGTTACACAGAGAGAGGAAGAGACAGAGGTCTTCCATCTTCTGGTTCACTCCCCACATGGCCACTAGGACCAGAGAGGGCTAAGCCAAAGCTAGGAGCCGGGAGCCAGGAGCTTCTTCCAGGTCTCCCACATGGGTGCAGGGGCCCAACCACTTGGACCATTTTCCACTGCTTTCCCAAGCACATTAGCAAGGAGCTAGATCAGAAGTGGAGCAACCTGGTCTCAAACCAGTGCCCATATGGCATGCTGGCATCCAGGCATCTACTTTACCTGTTACGCCACAACACCAGCTCCTGTCAATTCCTTTTAAGAAAGAAGAAAAATCCTGGTTTTCTGCTTGCTATATAGTGGTTATCCTGGGATTTCCTGTTATCATCCTAAAAATGTCTCTTAAACTCTCCTGATCTGGATCACCGGTTTCTGGATCTCATATTTTCCTATCTATTGTCTTTCTCTCATTTTTTGTTTAAAAATTTTTAAAAAAAATTTTTATTTTTGTCTATTTGAGAAAGAGAGAGAGAGAGAGAGAGAGAGAGAGAGATCTCCCATTTACTGGTTCCCTCTCTAAATGCTTACAGCAGCTGGGACTGGGCCAATCTGAAGCCAGGAGATGGGGACTTAATTTGGCCTCCCCTACAGGTAGCAGGGACCAACTACTTAAGCCATGACCTGCCTCCCAGGGTGTGTTAACAGGAAGCTGGAATTGGAAGCGCCCGCCGCTGGGCCTTGAACCCAGGCACTCTGATATGGGATGCAAGCATCCCAAGTGGTAGTTTAACTGTAATGCTAAATGCTTACCCCAAGAGGTTCAGTTTCAACATGCTGTGTCTGTGATGTGACTTCTGCTACCTCCAAGTAGAGGCCTTAAGCACTGTGGTCTGCTAAGCTATTCATATTGTTTATTATTTCATAAAAAAACTGCCAAACACATTGTTGTTTACATCTCCAAGCAGAGACAGAGAGTAAGCAGCTGGATATGCAAATCTGCAGTTTAGATGAGAGATCTAAGCTGGAAATAGGAATTCAGGAGTCACTGGGACATAAAGATGATTTAAAGTCACAAGACTGAATGCACTCGTTAAGGGAATTGGTGCAGGTAAAGAGGATAGAGCTTTACTCAAATGCCAGGTGATTCCTGACGGGCCGTTATGCAAATTTTCTTTTTTGAAGATTTATTTTTACTTATTTGAAAGGCAGAGTTACAAAGACAGAGGGAGAGACAGAGAGAGAGGTCTTCCATTGTTGGTTTACTCCAACAGATGTCAAAAGCCAGAAGCTTTTCTGTGTCTCCCAGGTGGGTGCAGGGGCACAAGCACTTGGACCATCCCAGGCACATTAGCAGGGAGCTGGATGGGAAGAGGAATCGGTGCCCATTTGGGATGCTGGGGCAGTGGTGGCTTTACCTGCTGTGGCACAGTGCATACAAGAACAACCCCCTGCCTGGCAAATTTCGGAACAAGGCATTGAACAGTGAGTTGGAAGTGCAGCATGCTTGGCTGGGCTTGTGTGTTCAGTTTCACTAAGGGGGATTGGTTATGGGTAGCTTTCTTCTGGGAGACTCTCAAAGTCAGGATCTGTAGTTCATCATTCTAGCACTGTTTTATTTCTTGCAAAATCTCTCCACGTGTGAGGGTTAGGGGAGATGTCCTAGGCCTGGCCCCTGAGTGCTGCTGGGAGAGGCAGGAGGGTTTTCCTGCTGTGCGTAGTACGCAGATTCCCCCTGTTTGCAGCCACTGTTCCTGGAGGCCCTCGGAAGTCCTCTAGTCTTAGTTATTCTAGTCTTTTGATGGGGCTCAAGGGGTCATTGGAAGGCTCAGGGGGAGGGCAGCTAGGTCATTCAGTCTTGGAAGAGATCCTATTTCAGGCTTTGGCCTCTACGGTGCCTCTCTCTTCCTGAGCCTCTTGGGTCCTGGGGTAGGAGGTCTTGGTCTTGCTTGCTCCTTCCCCTGCAGGTGCATTGGAACTTTGCAGGTCCTTGATGGCTCACATCTACTTTTTATTCCTCTGGTGGCATCTTAGTTCATTTTCAGGAGCAAGATAAATGAACACGGGTCAGTCTGCCTTGCTTAGCGAAAGGTCCTCAGAACAGGTTCTCAGCACCACTTGAAGGCCCATTGTTTCCACTGGGCAGAGGAAGGGTCTCATGCATGGAGCAGACAAGCGATCAGTGGGGTCTAGTTAGAATTTGATACTTCTTGCTTTCATGGGACTTTTACTTATATTTTATTTAGAAAGTGGTATGATTTCTTCATTTCTGTCAGTGATGTAAAATTCTCCTTTTCCTAATTTAAGCAAAAAAAGTTGATTTATAGAAAAATACTAAGTGGTATATGGAAAGGCTAAAACGTTGGCAGTGATAGGTCAATGTTTGAAGTTTGGGAGACACCTGGGTATTTATAGAAAACATCTCAGGGGACATTTCAGATCTTCCCAGCAGGTATTTCCTGATCTGAGGGCTGCTTCGTGGGAAGTACTGGGCTTCCAACAGGCCAGGATCCTTGGGCCACCTCTAGCTTCTATTTTCATTCTCACTGTCTCTACACATTGGATTTCCTTTCAAGTCACTGCTCTCTCGCTCCTCTTCTATATCTGGACTCCTCTTGCCCTAGAAATAAAGTTGGATACCATCTCCAAATATTGCTCCTAAGTTGCTATTTATAACAAAAGTATGCAAACCAGATTCCTTTGTTAGAAGTGTTGTGTTTTGTTTTATTTGATTAATCACAGCAGAACAGAGAGGCATTAAAAAATAATAACCAAGAGTCAGGGGACATGTGGAACCATCAAGTACTTGAAGGGCCCAACCCTTGCTGCACTGGTTTTTTTCTGAGGGGTGACTGGGGATGGGCGTGCTCTTGTTTCTGAATTTCTGCTTGGCTATCCCACAGAACTAGTGCATTGCTGGCCTTAAAGTCTAAGGGTTTAGGGTAAATCTCAACAAACCAGATCAAATCTGTGGCTAGGGAATTTAGACTTTGTCTGGGTTCGTGAGAGCAGGACTCCCTGGGATAACTAGTTCCTTCCACAGTCTACATGGCTGTTCTACTCTTCCCTTGAGGGTGGACTCCCGTGCGTTCTGCAGATCTGTGGAAAACAATGCACTTTCCTTTCTGGCTCTCCTGGACCAAAGTATGGAGTGCCTCTGGCCTCCCTTGAAGGTCTCATGGCCAAGGCAATCCCAGAAGTGCTGTTTCCCCTCCTTTTTCTCTTGCTGCTTTGATCCTCAGCATGGCCAGGAAGCCCACAGCTAGGACAGACTGTCTGTGTGAGTGGGACTTGACATCTCAGCGTCACTTCAAGGCCCTCTCATAGAAGGGTCATCTCAGCTTGGATATTTGGCCAAGCAGTGCTGAGTGTTCCGGGGCCAGCTTTCCCGAGTTACAAGTGCAGGGCTCCTTCTCTAGGGTTCCCTTTCAAATTCCTCCTCCCTTTCCTCAGGGAGAGGCCTTAGACAGGCCTGTCTCTGGG